GGCACACACAGCCCTGGCTGCAGCGGTCACTGAGCCAGAGCCCGCTGCCTCTGCAGCTCTTGTGGGTGATGAGCACAAAGCACCTTTGCTCTTTGTTTTGGGATCCATTGGAGCTCTTTTTTGAGTCAATTTTGGAGCCGGGGGAAGCCAAAAGAGGCAGCTCCCAGGGCAGATGTGTGTGCAACCAGCCGGTATAGAAGCAAAGGCAAGCACATTGCTCTCAGCGTTGTCCCCCAGTTTCCAGCTCCATGATAAACCTCTTTGAATAACCAAGTCTTGCAACATATATTTAGCAGCTCCATCTCTTCAGTACCAGGTATCCATTCTCGGGGAAGCACAGAGGGCTCCGGTGGATCAGCGGGGCAGAGCCCTCGGCAGCAGCAGCACTGCCTCAGCCCCAGAGCAGCATCCTCCAGAGCAGCATCCTCCAGAGCAGCATCCCGCTGCATCCATTCCTGAGTTAATGACAGCACTGCCATCAGACACTGATGAAATCAACGGCAAGGATGAGCAGCTTTCGAGCTCTGCCTTTATTTTTTAACCCCAGACACAAGTCATGTTGGAAGGGAGAGGCGGTGGCAGATAATAAGTTCAATGGAATGGTTTGAGTGTGAAGTGGAAAACCAGGAAAGCCTCACATCCTGATCCCAAACTGAACGTTGATATGCTGTGTGGCCCCACTGCAGGTACTTTATAATAATTCTGTTTCCTTTCTAATCCCATGAAAATACAAACTGAGTGCAAATCACAGAGTACAAATAGGGAACAAAATGTAAAAGAGGAAAACAACCTTCACTACCTTTATTTTCAATAAAGTTTATGTCATGCATTGCACTTCGAATCGCAGCAGATGAGCTGATGCTGTTTGCAGCACCATTCATTAACCAGTGTGTGCCCCGCCAGCCCAGCACACATCGCCAAATGACAGACTACAAAGAAGCACCAAAGCAAAAAGAAACTTGAGATGAAACAGAGTGAGGTCATTGGTTCCTTGCATTATCCTGAAGATGTTTGTCAACAATACAGTTTAGCCAAATGGCCACTATATTAAAGAAATAAAAGCAATATTTTGACAAAATCATTATCTGGGAGGAGAACTTCTGAAAAAAAAACAAAACACATTAACCCTTTACACACTGTACTTCTGAAGAATTCTGAGAGGAGGGCAGTGACAGCTGCAGCCTGATGGTGCCATCTGAGACATCTTCAGATTGACAGTCTTGGCCTCTAATATCTGTAGCACTTGTACGTTTTAAACACAGGATTGAAACGTGGCAGGGTTTGTAAGGAAAATGGTCTTGGACCTTAACTGCCTCTCCTGCTCTCCTTCCGCAATCCATCAGTATGTGCGAGCAAGCAGACCTGAGATAGGAATTCAGCTGATAAAGGAATGCAAATTACAGGTGCTGTGCGTGCGATGGCCGCTGGCCTCCCTTGCCAAGAGCAGTGCCTCGATGGGCAGGAAGGGGCCCCTCAGACCATTTGTGGCTGTTGCTGGGCTCAGGTCTCACTGGGCTCAGGTCTCACTGGGCTCAGGTCTCACTGGGCTGGGCTCAGGTCTCACTAGGCTCAGGTCTCACTGGGCTGGGCTCAGGTCTCACTGGGCTGGGCTCAGGTCTCACTGGGCTCAGGTCTCACTAGGCTCAGGTCTCCCTGGGCTCGGCTCTCCCTTGAGCACACAGATCGTCCCCGCAGGGAGCAGTGCCAGGTGCTGGACATGCTCATGACCCTGTTGTGGCCCCCTTGCCCCAGCCCCAGCCCATTGCTGACCAGACAAGAAGTGGGAACCCTGGGAGCTGCTGRACCCCAGCGATGGCTCCAGAAGTCACACAGAGGGTCAGAGCCCAGCCCTGCTAAAGCCGGCTGGGTCCAACCTTGCCCCTCCGAGCGGGTGCTGTCGAGGTGAGCATCCTCAGGATGCGGGGCTGGAGCGGTCACTGCCTGTTTGGAGCCGGGTCTCCTTTGGGCCGGGCACGCTGTGTGTTTGGAGCCGGTCCCGCTCGGTTCGGCCACGCTGTGTGTTTGGAGTACCAGGCACAGGGAGCCGGGTCTCGTTTGGGCCGGGCACGCTGTGTGTTTGGAGCCGGGTCCCGCTCGGTTCGGGGCACGCTGTGTGTTTGGAGCCGGTCCCGCTCGGATCGGGCACGCTGGGTGTTTGGAGCCGGGTCCCGCTCGGATCGGGCACGCTGTGTGTTTAG